TGAGAGAGACTTCACCCTGAGTCATAAGGAAAAGGGGATGGCGTATTCTCTTAGCTACTTCCTGCTGAAAAGGGACGCTGTGGGTTTCAGGGTGAAGATCAATGAAGGCCTTTTGGATCCTAACAGAACACTGTCCAACTCACTGACGGTCATCAGGAAAGATCAACTGTGAGAGGAACACATCGTGTTTGGTGAAGCCGATGGCCAGCAAGGGTGGGGCAGACGCAACGGGACGGAACTGCGTGAAAGCTGTGATGAAGACGACACTGAACGGGCAACACTTCAGTCTGTTGTACGTAAGGAGGCTGAGCCAGAGTCCACTTCCTCCCACAAGACCCTGCGTCTTCTCCTCTCAGGTCAGTCTGATGCTGGGGTGAAGGCACAAAGCTCAAACAGAACGGCAATTCTGGGGCTGAATTCTCTCTAGAGTAATTAATGAGGTGACTTAAATCATTCACAATACTTTCCCAGCGTCATTGTCCTTATTTATGGGCTCTTCCCCTCTTTCATTGCTGTCTAGTTGCAAGCATACTCAGAGCTGACCCTCCGATGGGTTTCAGAGGCTGTAAACTGCCTGGGAGGAGACTGGTCTTTCTCCCATGGAGCTGCTCATGCATTCAAATGCTAGAGAGGCCCAGCAGTTTGGGTTCGAAGCACAATTTCCCCATGAACTGGGCCACCACAGTTCTTGATCTATGGGATATGGGCCAAAACAAATGAAATAATCTAAGAAATCCTGTTGAGCCCAATGTCTGACCTAATCAAGGACTGGATAAATGTCCCCTGCTCCCTGTGTCTTTATTTTCTATTGACTCTCAACTTTACCAAACTTGACGTTTTTCTCCAGGAAATGGTCCCTCCTGACAACATGATCAAAGGGCACGAGTCTTCTGTTCAATTGCTTCATTGCATCTACTATCTTTTAAGAAGCACTAATGAGGTCTTATTTGCATTTTTATGACTTTTGGAGCAAAAGTTCTCCAAAGTCATGCTAGTAACTGCCAACTGGTTGGCCTAAGCGCTCTAGCCACGAAACGTGCAAATAAAAGGCTTCCTACCTTCATCTTCCACAATCAACACTCTTGTCATCAGCAGTCAGGTAATGAAAAGATGAATTACATTACGAAAACCTGTTGTCAGGGACCTTTCCAGGGTGCTGAGGAGTGTCAGTCTAGAGACTAAGGTGTGACTGATTCAGGCCATGGTCATCACAATTACTTGCTATGCGTCAGAGAGGTGGACAATGACTAAGGATGACAGAAGAACCGATGCCTTTGAGTTGTGGTGCTGGAGAAGAGTACTGAACATTCCATGGACTGCCAAAAGAACAAACTGGTCCATCCTGGAGAGGATAAAATCAAGTTACTCTTTGGAGGCAGGGTTTTTGAAGCTCTGTCTCACATACTTTGGACACGTTGCCAGGAAGGACCAGTCCTTGGAAAAGGACATCATGCTTGGGTGAGTGGAGGGACAGCACAGGAGAGGAAGATCCTCAATGAGATGGATTGATACAGTAACTGGGGTCATTGGGGTGGTGTATTAGAGACAGAGATTGGCTCTGGATAGGTGGCTTAACGGCACATAACAGCCACTACCTTTATCTTGTCAGCTGTTTCCTCGACTAATTTAGGAAAAACCAGATGATAAAGTGAACATTCACTCCTCCCTCCTTGCACCAAATGTCATCACTCATTTGCTCACGTTAAATCTACGCAATGGGACCATGTCCATTCGCATGGCACCGAGCAGGTCTTCAATCCTTGGTGCACAGTTCTTACTGGTCTTCTCTCTTCGTTCCAGTGTTTCCCAACTCTACTTCATCATGTGTGGTCTTGGACCAAACTCATCCCTGCCCACCTGAAGATTAGAGAGAGGGACAAAATTGTAGTTTGAATGCATCAATTCATCCAGTGCTTCTCAAACTTTGCTGCTCAGTCCAACCACCTAAGGGAGCTTCTGAAAATCCTCATACAGGTTCACCTGAGACAAATGCAACTGGAATTTCTGACTATGGGAAACAGACCTTGTACTATGTTTCTCAGTGGAAGTTTGAGAGCCAATAGTGAAACTTGGATGCTCCTTGGAGGCAAGGATTCTGACGCTTCATCTGACGTACTCTGGACATGTTGTAAGGAGGGAGTGGTCCTTGGAGAGGGACATCATGCTTGGAAGGGTGGAGGGACAGCGCAAGAGAGGAAGACCCTTGATGAGATAGATCGATTCAATTACTAGGGTAACGGGGGTGGATGTGTCAGAGACAATAAGGTTGGCACAGGATAAAGCAGGGTTTAGGACTCTTATACATAGGATCATTATGAGTCACAAGCAACTCGACGGCACATAACACCACCACCACCACCAATGTACTTTAATTAGTCTGCCATCCTCAACCAGTTCCGGAGTGAGATGGGCCTCACTTTACAACCTTCCACGTGATGTCAGGAACATAACCAGTGTTTCTGATGATGATGGACTGTGTCAGCCTGTAACTGATTAACTCCTAGCACTGGAATATGGTAGAAATTCCGGGATCACACACACGTTTCAAAGTCATACAGGATAAACATTTTATTTAAAAAAATCACCTATTCCCAGTTGAACTGTAGGAGACCCACATCTGAGGTTACTTTGGGAAGTGACATCAGAAACAAATATAGGTTTTCAGTATCACAAAATGGTTTGATTCTCCCCTGACTTCCTCCATTAAATATTAAATGTTGCTTTGGGCCAGTTCTGGTAAGAGCACTTACTTGCTGATTTCACATAAAACCAGGTCCTAGGGACTGCCAACGTGGGCCCATTCCTGGCCCCTTCCCTAGAAGCCAGGCCTCTGCAGCAATGACAGCACTACGGGGGGTGCCATTCCCCAGCAGTGAGCTTGCTGTTAATGGCTGGCTCTGGGGCTGCACCCACGGCAGCATGCGCTATCTGGGGCCCATGTAAGCTGATTTCCTGTTGGGCTGCAATGGGGCTTGGAGACTGGGGGCCAGCAGCCAGGGGCCTGCTTCATACACACCGAGGGAAGGGGCATAGAGTGCTGCCTGTCACTCAGGTGAGGAATGAGGCTTTCCACGAGCCTGTGGTCCGGTTCCAGCACAGGCCCTGCAGCGTGTCTGTGTGAGTGTGGAGGAAGAGGCCTGCATGGAGGGGCTAAGGGTTGGTGGGCACTTGGGCAGAGGACTGGCACTGCTGCCTTCCAGTCAAATCACCTCAGCAGAGCTCAGTGTCCATTTCCACAAGCCCCCAATGATGTCACCTAGCCTGAGGCTGTGGAATCACACTCTGTGGTTCTGAGCTCAGTTGCTGGGTCAACAGCATGGTGACCGCCTGAGTCACATCTGGCTCTGCAGCCTGGTTTTCTGTTCTGAGGAGAGCCAAGGGCAGGGCAACTTCCAGGAACCAGAAGCTTCCAGGATCTTGAGAGGCAAAGCTCTCATCCTGAGCTGTTTCCGATTTCTCTGCTTCCACCCAGCAGTATCTGGGTGGCTTCACACGGCGTTAGTCAGCCTCTTCCATCCACTCTGCAGGGGAGGGTGAGGGATCAGCTCCCTCCACTGAGTGTTTTCTCGTTTACCCACACCATCTGTCACCGCTGCACCGGGCCTCACTGCAGAGAAGGGACTCTGCTAACTGCAGTCTGTCATAGCACAAGATGACTGTTCAAACATCTGTCCCGTCCCTTCCTCTGACCGCAGGCTTCTTTTGTCTTCATCCCTGGCCTGGGAGCAGGCTCCCCCCGAGGGAGGTCCCGGCTGTCGTTTCCTTGTAGTCATTCCTGCACCAGGAAGTTGATGAGGGCGGTTCTGGGGGAGAGGAAGGCCTTCGTAATGCTGCGCCCCTGCAAGTGCTTGACCCCCAGCTCGCTCCGGAGGACAAGCTCGTGCACTTTGTCCTGGTCCTGGGCCACGTGCTGGGGCACGGGGATTCTGCCGCAGGCTTTGTTGTTGATCTGAGAAGGAGAAAAGGGGAGACAAACAGTGAAGTTAAGTCCTAGGGTAACAGGCAACCCAATACATAAGGACCCATCGCTGGCAAAGGGCACCATCGCGCACGGGAAAAGGAATGAGGAAGAAGGGAGGGAAGGCCAACACTTCTGGACGTAACCTGCTGAAGCCTTTTCTGCCACTGTTTCCTCGTGGGTAAGATGGGGCTGGCCACCTCACCGCCTGCCAGGGAATGAGAGTAACGACAGGGGCTCTCACAGGCTGCTGTGCGGGCACCGTTAGGATCTGTGAAGTCCTCAGAAAGGCCTGGTCCCTAGCGGGGCCTGCTCCGTGCCAGGCCAAAACGCGCCGCCATTGAATTGCTTTTGACTCACACCAACCCCCAAGGATGGACTGGAACCACCCTGAAGGGTTTCCCAGGTGTCATCATTCCAGAAGCTGAGAGCGAAATTCACACCACTCACCTTTTGGTGGAGAGCTGAGTGTTAAACCACTGCACCACCAGAGCTCCTCCCGGACACCAGGCTTTGCTCTTAGGGCGTCCAGAAGCAGGCTGAGCACTGCCTGGCATCACCCCACCGCTCCTCTTAACAATGGGGTAAGGCAGGCACCATGCTTGGCTGCATTTTATAACTGGGGGAAACGGAGGCTGAGAGACGTTTTGTCCAATTAAGACTCCGGCTCAGGAGAGTCTGAGTCTCCTTCTTTTCCCCATAACCTGGAGGCCATGTGGCCCCATGGTGACTCTTCCGTCACCCTAGTCTTCCCTACTAAGGAGCTAAGCTGGAAGATACAGGCGGTGGCTCTGGTCTCTGTGTCCCCACGACCTGGCACGCCAAGGCCCAGAGAACACGTGACTTCTATTTCTAGCCCTGGCAACAACTGGGATCACAGTTGGAGCCCAGAATCTCCAGGGGGGGTCTTGCTGCTGGCCTGGTGCCTGGAACCAGTATCTCAATTCACACGCAGCTTTCACTTCATTTCAATTATAGTCAGAAATGATCTTTACCAGTCGTCGAGATGAAAGGTCTTCTCTGCAAGGATGACTTAAAATCAGGAGGCTATTTTCAGAGAACCAACAGCAGTTGCTCCCTGGCACGGCTCACCTGAGGACAGGATCTTGGGGGCATGTGAGATATGTTGCCTCGAGAACATTACTCAGGTGAAAGAATATGCTCCGTGCTCTGAGGATGGGCTTAGTTTTCTGAAGTTCTTGGAAGAAGACAGCCTCTTCGCTCAAAGGCAGCTGCACTTTCTGCTCCTGCTCCTCCCTGGGGCGCAGTGGAAGACAGCACAGAAGAGAGGCTGGGGAGCCAGGGCTGCGCAGTGGGATTCCCACCTGACCAGACAAAGCTCGGGGAAGTGACCACTTCTCAACAATGCAGCTCCCAATTCTGGCTACTTGCTAACATCCAAGCGCATCCGGATTTCTTCTCCAGAAGTGACCACTTGGGAGGGCAGTGATTCCCCGCTCCAGGACTTCTGTGGTTGGCAGTCTTTTTCACTTTTTCCTTTTGTGATTATTGTCATTGTGTACCATCAAGTCAGACCCTTCGGCAGCCTTTCAGAGGCACTAAATCACATGGGAGGAGACTGCTCATCTTTCTTCTACAGAGCAGCTGGTGGATTCGAACTGTACGCTTTTGGGCTGGCAGTGTAACACCAAGCCACTCACCAGTGCTCCAGCCTGGAAACACGTGTGCAAAATGCGTGGTGGCTGCTGCACTCCTTGGGCTTCCAAGAATAAGCTCAGATGGTTTGGAGGCCATCAGGATGGTAGCTGCCCACCACACAGCAACCCTTGTACAGACCAGCTATGAACTGAAGCTGACTTGATACCTACTGACCACCACAGCGTTGAGGTGGTTCACACCCACAGACCACACGATACTTGTGTTTTCACAGCCACCTTTTGGCTACTGCAAACAATACTGTGATGAATAGTCTCAACTCTCAAAAGTCACTGCTGAGGGAGCTCTGGTGGCCTAGTGGCAAGAAGCTGCACTGCAATCCCAGAGATGCGTGGTTCGAATCCACCAGATGCTCTGCTGAAGAAGGAGGAGCAATCTCCTCCTGTACCAGTCAGATGCGATTTGACGGTACACACACAAAAATAATAAAATAAAAAAAATAAGAAGTCACTGCTGCTCAGTCAGAACTAACTCAACGCTGACCCTCCACTGGGTTTTCAGAGGCTATAAATTGTATGAGCAGAGACTGTCCTTCTCCCATGCAGCAGCTGGTGGATTTGAACCACATGCCTTTGAGTCGGCAGCGGTGAGCAGGCCACCATAGCTCCCTGTGATGAACACTGGTACACATGTATTTGTCTGAGTTCCTACTTTCAAGCTTTTTTGGGGACATCCTAGCTTAGCTTTGTTGTGGCGTTTTCAGAATATGCAGCAGTTTTACGTATGGTCCTCTTTCCTTTTTGTTTTGCTTTCAGTTTACCTCTCCTGGTTTTAAGCTAATGAGGGTCAGGACTCTGTCTCATTTGATTTTAAACCCTGAGAGTCCAGTGTGCCTGGCATCAAGTGGACACTCAATACCACTGTGGGAGAAATGAATGAAGCCGGGCAGTGGAGCGGACTCAGATGGGCCTGTTTCTTCAGCTGAAGAAAGCCGATCGGTGGTGCCTCCCTCAGAGAGTGAGGGTGTCACAGGACATTGTGGACGCATGTGTTTAAATTGTGGATGTATGTGTGGCTGGCTCCACGCATGGCTTGTGGTTGTTGTGAGGTGTCGCTGAGTTGACTACCACTCATAGCGACCCTATGAATGACAGATCTGAACCTTGCCCCACCCTGTGCCCTCTTCTTCATCTCTGCCACACCTGAGCCCATTGGTACAGTCATTGTGTCAACCCATCTTGCTGAGGGTCTTCCCATCCTTCACTGACCCCCCCACCTTCCCAAGGATGATGATGTCCCTTTCCAAGGACCCCTCTCCTAAACAGACCCCCTTACGGGAAAGTGTGGTGAAACTTCATCTCATATACTTTGGGCACGCTGTGTGGCAGAGGGCACGTATTAAAAGGTCTACTTGGCTTTCCCTCTTAAGCTACATCTGTATATTTAAACGATATTCCCTGTAAATGAATCCCACTAAAACAAATACATAAAAATTACAGATAGGACCAATAATAAAGGAGTTACTGGCTCTAAGAAAAGATTAAGCCATAAAATATTCTTATGTATTCAAAATGATGCAAATTACAAAAAAGTATTATAATAATTTTTTGAAATATGTTCTACAGAGATGTGTTCCTGTGTTGCCAACTATCTCACCAGAGAGACTGAACAGCACTCGGATGGAAGAAACCAGAACCTTCTTTTCTCGCCACTTTCCAATCCCTGCAGGGCCATGAACATTTCATTCTCACTTGCTTTTTTTTTTTTAAATTATTTTATTATTTTTTGTGTGTGTACCATCAAGTCGGATCTGACTGGTACAGGAGGAGATTGCCCCTCCTTCTCTAGCAGAGTATCTGGTGGATTTGAACTGCGTACCTCTGGGACTGCAGTGCAGCTTCTTGCCACTAGGCCACCAGAACTCCCTTTCACTTGCTTTTGTTGTGAGATGACCTACAGAGCCGATGGCTTGAGGGAATTTAGGTTTCCCTCCTCCCCGGCTACATGAGGCCTCATAGGAAGAATCCACTGAAGGCCATGCGGGCTTCTAAGGTCTGACAAGAAACCAATCAAAACTACGGCCGCGGGAGGACCGTCCATCCCAGAGGACTAGCCTCCCGACTCTGGGGGCGGTGGGGAGACACTTACCAGCACAGCCATCTCCACGATGTCAGGCTTCTGGAAGAAGTGAGGGTCCACGGCTGGCCACGCCTGCAGCATCACGCCGGTGTCCCAGGCGTAGTGAGCACACAGCTTCTGTGGCACCAGCGCCAGGCCTGCAATGCCAAGGCACAGGAGGGTCATTCTGAGCACACAGCTAGCTCATCCCACACGGCCCGGCTGAGGGGGGCCTTTATGGCTATTCATGGTCTACAAGATGCTCCCCACTCATGCAGCCTGACTCACAACACCAACCTCAGGTTTATACAATTTTATTCGCAAGTGATAAACAGTGCTCTGGACAGAAGGATGTGGCTGTGCCCAGGACCCTGCTGAGCATTCACAGGGGGGCACAGAGTCAAAGGCACAAGGGCAGGGGCAGTGGTCAGAGCTGGCAGCCAGTGGTCCCTCGCCAGGGAAGACTGTGATGTCAAATCCTCTGTTCGGCTCAGGAGCACAGGTCCGCTCGCTGCCCTTGAGTGCTTCCTCTCCCCAAAACAAAAGAAAATAAAACTATCACTATGATCACCACCAAGGGAGCTCTGGTAGCCTAGTGGTAAGAAACTGTGCTGCAATCCCAAAGGTAAGTGATTCGAATTCACTAGCTGTTTTGAGGGAGAAGAATGGGCAGTCTCCTCCCGTGCAATTAACTGCCTCTGAAAACCTGCTGGAGGGTCAGCTCTGACTTAATGGTTCACAACAACAGCCATCACCATCAAATCACGTTATGTAGTCTTTAACACAGTTTAAAATATTACTTGATTTCATAGATGAGGAGACAAAATTCTACACACACACATACACACACACACACACACACACACACACACTCTCTCTCTCTCTCTGACTCCAATTATATTTTAACACACACAAACACACACACACACCCCACACTATGACTCCAATTATATTTTTTAAAAAGTATATGACTTCTGATGGGGAGGAAATAAACCTGAATAATAATAGTAGAAAATTTTCCTTGGGAGGTAAGATTATGGGCAACTTTTGATTTTTGCTTTTTTATCCCACTGTCTCCCTGATTTTTTATTTTGAATATTTTATAGAGATTCTTCAAAAATAGTTATTGTAGTCTGAAAAGATAGTTTTATAAAGTATTTTTTTTAAATACTTTGAGACCAGTTCAAAATTTCCCTTCTTTATTTTGAAGGGTTCATTTAAATTTTTTAATCTAGTTATAATTTCTTTTGTGTACTATGTGAAACATATTACTTAGCAAAATACAGGTCAATTTTCACACCTCAGGCTGTTAAAGAAATCATCCCTTCATTATTGGTCTGGAATAATCCTTGGGAATATGGGAGAGGGAGTAAAAAAAAGGAACTAGATAATAGACACATTAAGATGGATGAAGAGAAAGCAGAATATACAATAGGAACATGACAGCATACCACCACTGAAGAAAGGAAAGAAAGAGAGCGGTGCAGATGAACGGAAATCAGAATCACAGGGAGGAAATGGGAAAAGTGAGATCCCATTGTGGGTACTGAAATCAACGTTATCAAACAAAGTGCAGGGGGGAGGGTGGGGGGATTGTAAAATGAAGGAATTTTTCTTTTACTTTTCAAAGAGAAGAGTGAACTGCAGGGGAGGGGTGGGCAGGGAGAAAAGTGTAACAATGAATGAATGGAAATCCAAAATCTCTGTAAATGTTCATTAAAATTAATAATGATAATAAAAAAACCCAAACAAAAAACCCCAAAGTGAATGTGAATGGTTGAAGAAAAAAATTAATTTGCTTTGTAAACTTTCACTCAAATCACAATTTATAGAAATGTTAAAAACAGTGACAAAGTACATTACACAGCAAGGATTGTTGCAGATGTACTAATTTCAGAGTACTCAAAGTGTCTGAGATGAAAGAAAGAACAGAGCCAGAGTGTCCACCAACACTCTGCTTCCTTCACTGGTAGATTCTTTATAAATGTGATTGTGGTGTTGCGCAGAGTACGGAAGATCCCATTTCAAACTCAACTTATAGCTGTTGAGTTCGAGCTGATGTAAAGCTGACCCTCCGGCGAGCTGTCAGAGGCAGTAAACGTCCCTGCCCAAAGAACAGACAGATATGTCTTGGGAAAGTGCAGCGAGAGTGCTCCTCGGAGGCAAAGACGACAAAGCTCTGATTCACACACTCTGGGCATGTTAGGAGAGGCTATTCCTTAGTGCGGGACATTGTGCTTGGAAAGCGAGGATCGGTGAAAGACAGGAAGACCCTCAGCCAGACGGACTGACACAGTGACTGCAGCAATGGGCTCCAGTGTGGCAGAGACGATGAGGAAGGCACAGCAGAGGACAGAGTTCAGGTCTGTGGTTCATCGAGTCGCTATGAGTCACACTCGACGGCACATAACGTACGTATGCATACGATAGCCTCTGTCTATTATATCCATATTTATTAGATATATGCATGTGCTAGGTAGAAGAACTGATTTATGTTCTAGAGCGAGCTGCTTTTTTTTTTCAGAACGTCGGAGGTAACAGCTGAGCCACTATTTAGTAGACCACCGGGTGGCACGTGTCTATTCCATTTTGTTGATTTCTCACCTTGACTCAAGTCTTGACAGTATTGTTGCTTTATTTGTTACAGCTTTCGAACATGTTTTTCTCTCTGGCATTCTTGTTATAACCTTGTGTTGTAGAATAATATGAAGGGAGTCAAGGCCCACGAGAGTCTGAGAGTGAAGAGGTGTGAAAGATGTAGCTTTCTTATCCCGGAGCTTCTGTGTTCGCTCCATTTCTAACACTTATGTCTTTAGGCAGGAGGAGAGAGGCCCTTCCTGCTTGCTCCTCAGAAAGGATCCTCACGAAGCTCCTATTATTACAGGACCGAGGTCACAGAGGGGAGAGATCTATTTATTTATGTGAGAAGGCTCGTCCAGTGTGGCTTGTCCCGGGAGCCAGCTGCAGAGGGAAGGAGTCCAAACTTTGCTGTGGCACTTGTTCAGGACGCCTGGGAGATGACAGGACCTTGGACACAAATGTTCTGGGCAGAAGCTGTCAGAAATTCCACTTTAAGAAAACGAGGAAGCCCAGCTTTCCTGGAGTAATCAGGATACTTATTTATAGCAGTCTGACCCCCTGCCAGCATTTCCATATAGGAGCGGGGCCATCCTGTCGAGCAGCAGGGCACAGAAACCCAGGACTCGGTTTGTATGGGATGCTTCGCCTCCCTCTGCATTTTAGGGAAGTAAAAACATCTAACGTTTGCATGGCAAATACAGTGGTTTCTTTACCTGACACAGCAAGGTGACATAGGGCAGGCTGAGAGCTGGTCTTTGAGAAGGACATGAAGTCTAAACTCAAGCCAGGAAGTGGTAAGCCTTGGCATGCAAGGCCACCACATGGGGCCGGCTGTTCCCCATAGTCCACCTCTTCCTCCTTCTCTTCGAGGAGAGCTGCTGACCCTGACCTTCCTGAGAAATGCCTGGAACAAGCGTCTTCCCCTCTGGAGATGGCAAGGTCACCATACTCCCCTGTTACCCTGGAGAGCCGGAGTCGTCACTGCATCCAGGGGTGTCAGTCCCCTGCTGGTGGGCTTCTCTGACCTGCTCCCACCCCCACCTCCCTACACCTGCCCTCAGACACATCAGAAAGGAGTACTTGGAGACTCAGTGTCTGCTCCCATTGTGCCCCAGCCAGTTAGGGCAACTCCAAAGAAAGGAACAGGAAGTATTGTCTTTTCACTTCCGGTTTTACCCAAAGGAAGATTCCAATGACATTTTGAAATAACAGCAGACATAACTGTGCATAAAATACCATCAGGGCATTGACAGACATTTTCTTTTCCTTTGTAACTCTCTCTCTCACACACAAACATGCACATTCATAGGCATGTACACACAGACACATATACACACTTCTACATGGGTTGAATGCTTGTAATTTTGTTGAAGTGAACAAATATATACATACCCAGTACACTACACTGTGCACATGTACATGATATTGTTGTGGGTATGTGTTGTCCAGTCGAGTATGACCCACAGCACCCCTATGAACAAGAGATCTGAACCGAGGCCTATCCTGTGCCATCCTCACCCACTCACCCACACCGTCACTGTGTCAACCCGCCTTGCTGAAGTTGTTCTTTTCCTCTTGACCCTTCACCTTTCCAAGCACGATATCTTTCTGCAAAGACTGTCCCCTCCTAACAACATGCCCAAAGTATGTGGGACAAAGCTTGACATCCTCGCCTCCAAGGAGCAGCCTGGTTGTACTTTTTCCAGGACACATGTTTGTTCTTTCAGCAATCCAGAAGCTATTCAGTCCTC